GCAACGCCAACCAAGCCACGGATTCCGGCTTCTCGCCGCTGTACAAGGCGTGCCGGGAGGGCAACCTCGAGTGCGTTCCGGCTGAGCTGCTGCAGCGCGCCGCGGGCGGCGAGGGTGAGGCGGCGGCGCTGATTCGGCGGGCGGCGCCGCCGTGGTCGCCGGCAAGCCACTCGCTCTTCCCCATAGGGCGCTCCTCGTCCGCTCGCTCTACGAGATCCACGAGTCGACACCCACCTCCACGGCATCGCGGCGGTCGATTTCAGCGCGTGCGTGCTGCGTTCGCCGGTCACGCGCGAGACGCAGTAGAGGAGACGCAGGCTGTACATGCATGGGTAGTGGCCGCGATGAGGGAGGATCCACCCAGGTGCAGTTGGCGACAGTATATCATTTCCCACTATGCCACGTCGCCGCGGGCGCTGTGACCACACGAGACATCGTCGAGGGCGCGGCCCGGTGGCGCGCGCGCGGTGGCGGCGAGCGGGCGTCCGGGTGGAGCACGGGAGCACCCCTATACCCAATCCGCAATACCGCATACATGGGGGCCAGCGAGATTGAGGATGCCACCTCCGTCATCCGAGGAGCAGTGAGGACACGCCCGTGCCTATACACGGACCGCCGGAGGACGGCAGACAGAGAGGGGGGGCGGGAGGTACTGGACCGGAGGACCTATTACGCCACACGCGGCCACACGAACGAGTGGGTGCGAGGACGGCTCGGCGAGGGGCTCACGGCTGGGTCGCACACGGCAGGGGTGACGGGGCCGCTGTGGAGCGATGTGGTCAGGGGAACGACGAGACACAAATGGGACAAGCGCCAGCGGATCAAGGATCAGCACGGCGAGCGCGAGATTGATTTCGCCGACGTGGATGACCACAACGTGGTGACAAAGACCGTCATGGGAGCGCGGGTGCGGCAGCAGGCGGGGGTGCCACACGGAACGCACCACGAGAGGATCATGCGGGGAGAGGCGGGGAGGGAGACCCCGGGCGCCGCCACAAGGAGCGAACTCAGGGGCTGCCTCGTCTGTAAGGCCGCGAGGGACGCGGCGAGGAGGGCAGCACTAAAGCGGGACCCGCTGTGTCCGATCGTGCGGAAAGCCGCGCAGCAATGGACCGAGGAAGATGAGAACCCGCCTAGAGCGACAATGGCGCACGTGCTTAGCGGCGCCTGCCTGGGGAATAGGGAGCAGGCCAGATGGTTCCTCAGAGTAGCGCGAGCGCAGACAGGGACGGCGATCAGCAAAGTGGCACAGGCGGCACCCGACTCCAAGGATACGCTGAAGACGCTGAGGATGGCGCATGTCGCTGCGCTGAAGGGCTCACGCTACAGGGTGCTGGACGAGGACGGGTACGATACACTAGCCCCCGCAGTCGGGGGGGTGTTGCCAGCACTGGTAGATGACCTCTCGGAGAAGAGCCGAAGGGACCTTGGCACCGGGGTCACGAGGAACCTGCAAGTCGTGGCCGAGGCGGCGACGGGAGCGGTGCAGAGGTGGATACAGCTCAATGATGAGGCTACGGCGCGCATAATGAAGAGAGAGGAACACATCGAGTGGCTGAGGAAGCTCTTCGCTGGGTGGAAGGAGGCCCGCCCGGCCTTGAGGGAGTCGCGGAGGAGGAGGGATAACGGAGGCAACGTGCAGACAGGCCAGCAGCCAGCGGGACGAACGAGGACCGCGACGGCAGCTCAAGCGGGAGGGAGCGGAGACAGTGGGCAGCGAGCGAAGTGGGTGAGACTGATGATGCTCCTTCGACTTAGGGAGCGGTTCCGCTGCTGGGCGAGCTTCAGGGTGGTGCTCACGCGAAAAGGAATCGACGCAATGTACAAAGCATACAAGAAGAGGAGAAAGAAGAGGAGAGGCGCCAGTGATGACGAAACAGAAGCTAGTGCAGACGAGGGCAGGTCAGACCCGGGGACGGCGGAGGCGGACCAGACGGCATCGACCGCCGAGGGAACGTCGGGAAGAGGCACGAGGAGGGCGGCGACCTCAACCGACTATGGAGGACCCGTCACCAGACGACGCAGGGCAGCCGACGGGGAGGCGGAGCAGACGCGCAGGGCGAGACGAGGGAGGGAGCAGGATGTTGCTGAGATCAGCAGGAGGATGTACGACGAGATTAGGAGCAGCAGGGACCCGAGGGACCATGTGGAAGACGGCTAGTGCTAGTCCCCCATCGGGAGGACGACCCCGGCTAGTCGCCGACCACACCCACAAAGAAAACCCTGCACAAAGACCGCAGGGCGGGGACCTGTTCCTTTTTACCCATCTCCTAGTAGAGGTGTCCGTTTTACCCCCCAGGCTAGATGTAGTCACAGATAGCCCCACACAGCCCCTTACCCCTTCACCCTCGCCTCGCTGCTTGGTGTTTCTGAACACGTAGACGACCACGCTGTGGGGGTTGTGTTATAGGAGTAGGACGCTCACTACAGCCTGTAACCGCCGATCCATGGCACGCGTAGCTATGACAGGGACCGCGGCCGCGGACCCGGTGGCGGACGGGGCTGGTGCGCAAGCGCCGGCCACCGTCGTGCCGCCGGGGATGCGCAGCGGACGCTGGAATGGCTCCGATCGCGTGCAACTGGAGGACGCGGTGATGGTCGCAAGGATCGCAGGTGCGTCGCAGGTCAGGCTGATAAGGCCTGGCTACGCGACCATCGAGATCGACCTGAAGCACGAGAAGGCCGCGGGCGACCGCGCGTCGGTGCAGGCGGCGGAGCGCTCGTACGTCGAGCGCACCGCGCCAAAGAAGAAGGAGCTCACCAAGGAGCAGCTCGCGGCTCGGGCCGCGGCACGCAAGGCCAAGAAGGCCCGGCAGAAGGCGCGCCGGGCGAAGGAGGCTGGCGAGCGCGCCGCGAGCGAGGCCGAGCGCGCGGAGGCCCCGCGGGCGCAGCTGCGCGAGAACATCCAGTACGTGATGGCCGGGCTGCGGACTGCAGCTGCGCAGACGCGCAGCCAGGCCGGGTCCAAAATAGAGGTCGAATATTCGCTGCCCCCGGAGAGGGACGACGGATATCGGCGCGGCCCCAGCAAGGTGTACGCCAAGGTTCCCCAGGGGACCGTGGCGACGACCGTCGCCTCGGACTGGCTCGCAACCGAGCTGGCCGAGTATGGAGAGATAGATGCGGCATGCCGCGACAGATTCGTCATGTACCTGATGACGGCCGCCGGCGCCTCGGCGCCGGCCGACGCCGTGTTCAGGTTCACAGCCGGCGAGGCGATGCAGACCTCTCGCCCGATCTCCGCGTCGGGCGAGGACGACGACGAGGACACCGGCTCCGAGGAGTATTCCGACGACAGGGCGTCCGACCGCTAGCTGGCTTCAACCATATCTTACCCTTTCTGCCCCCCCCTCCTCCGACCCCCCAGGCTAGATGGAGTAGTCAGATGTAGATTCTGCCCCACACAGCCCCTTACCCCTTCACCCTCGCCTCGCTGCTTGGTGTTTCTGAACACGTAGTCGTCCACGCTGTGGGGGTTGTGTGTGGGTCCTGTGTCTGGGAGGGAGGGAGTGGGGTGCAGGTTGCTCACCCACGGCACCGGGCCGGTGCTTGCACTTTGAATGCCGTGGGGCTCCTGCCCGTGTCCGGGCGTGGAGATGCGAGGGTCGCCCCCCCTTGCCCCACCACTTTGTGTGTGTGGAGACGTTTACCTTACCTTACCTTAGGAGTAGGAGTGGGGTGCAGGTTGTGCTCACCCACGGCACCGGGCCGGTGCTTGCACTTTGAATGCCGTGGGGCTCCTGCCCGTGTCCGGGCGTGGAGATGCGAGGGTCGCCCCCCCTTGCCCCACCACTTTGTGTGTGTGGAGACGTTTACCTTACCTTACCTTACCTTACAAAGATCTGGGAGTACGCGTTGTACTTGTCTCCACGCCTAAAGCCGTATTTCTCACAGCGAGAACACGCTCGCGCCCTCGGACATCCTCGCGATCTCCTCCTCCGAGATTTGGATCGGCGCCACGTTGCCGAGCGGCGCCTCGCGGAAGATGGGCCGAGGTCTAGCCGAGGTCTAGCCGAGATGTGGCCGAGGTACAGCCGAGCGGCGCCTCGCGGAAGATGGACTGAAGCCGCTGGAAGGACTCGGACACGTCGCCGCTGCCGGCGGTCCGCAGCTGCCAGCCGAGCGCCGCGCGCAGCTCGCGCAGCCTCTCGCGAGTGTATCGCCTGGTCCAGGCCGCTGAGTGGTTGATCAACGAATGAAGCAACTCGCGCAACCTCTCTCGCGGGCGCTGCGGCGCCGGTTGAAGAAGCCCGCCGCCGGCTCGCCGGCGAGGCCCTCGAGGCCGAAATCCGCGGTCATGCCCCGGCGGCACTGCACGACGGCGGCGCCGCCCGAGTCGGCGCCCGTCGGCACCACGTAGAACTGGCAGTCGTCGACATACACTCCGCTCAGCTGCGCCTGCTCAAACGTGACCCGCATGTACCTCCGGTCGACCGACTGCGCGAGGACCTGCGTGTCGGGCGGTCGCGGGGGTCGGCTCGCGCCGCGGAGACGGGCGCTGCGGTCGTCTCCAGGACGACCTTTGCGCCAGGCCATTCGAGGAGGAGCGAGCGGAGCTGCCTCACGGCCGCCTCGACGTCGTCCGGGAAGGTCCACGACTCCCACTGTCCGGGAGTCATCTTCATCGCGCCCTCCGCGTCTCGCGGCGCCGGCCGGCTGAGCACTGGCCTGAGGGCCTCCCGGAGAGCCGGAGGCGGCGACAGCTTGGGGACGGCCGGAGCGGCCTCCAGAGCGCCCGGCCGGCTGATCAGGAGTGGCGAGAGGAGCGAGCTCACCACGAGCCTCCGGGCGAGCGGAGCCGACCGGGTGCTGCAGCTAGGGGAGCACATGGCAGTGTGGCAACGGGCAATGTGTGGTCGGTGGCAAACCGGCGCCGGGGCGGTGCGGGCGCTTTTTTTATTCCAACTTGCCCGCTATTTTTCTTTTACTCAAGGTGGACGGCCACCGACCGAACATTGAGCGCGTCGAGCCGCCGACAGCTTTCGCTCACAAAAACCACCATGCCCTCCATCGCGGAGCGCATGGCAAGCTACGCCAAGTCCCTCGCCTCGGACGGGAACGGCAACCCCACCCTCGACGCGGCAGACATGAGCCACGCGGACGCGATTCCTCCGACGCCCGGTCGCGGGGACGAGGAGTATCTCTGCAACAATTTCCGCCTGGACCCGAGCGCGGACTTCGGGATGTGCAAGTGCGGCTACAAGAAGATCGACCACCCCGTCGTCAACCCAGAGTGGGCAAAGCAAAAAGCAGAGAAGGCGGCGGCGGCGGCGGCGGCCGAGGCGGCGGCGGCGGCCGAAGTGGTGGCGGCGGCTGAAGCAGCCGCGGCGGCCGAGGCGGCGGCACAGGCGGCGGCGGAGGCGGCAGCGGAGGCGGCGGCTGCGGCGGCGGTCGAGGCGGCGGCACAGGTCGCGGTCGAGGCGGCGGCCGCCGAGGCTGCTGCGCTCGACGCCGAGATTGCCGCTGCAGAGGCGGAGGCGGCTGCGGAGGAGGCGGCCGAGGCGGGGGCTGCCGAGGCGGCGGCCGAGGCGGCGGTCGAGGCGGCCATCGCGGCGGAGGCGAGCTTCACCGCCGCCGAGACGGCCGACACCGTCGACTCGCTCGCCGGCGTCGCCGCGGCCTCGGAGGCGGCCACCCACCCACCGCCCACCCCACCCAGTACCTTACCCATCACCCACCCTCGCCAAGGCACCCACCGACCAACCTAACCACCCACCCTAACCCT